GTAGTTGGGTAGATCCAGTTGTCTATGTCTGAGTCTTCCTCACTGTCTTCAATAGCATTAACCCCACGATTGCTGATGCGTAGGGGAAGTCCTCCAGCCCAAGCGCGTTGAACAGCCCTTTGAGCCCCTGTAGTAAAGCCCAAACCAAATTTGTCAGTTTTGTGAATGAAATCAGGGAGCTGACCCCAATTGGTACACCCACCTTCTTCAACTACGGCCCCGACGTCCTTGAGAGAAGCCATCTTCAGAGGAGGTTTGTTGCTAGTAGTAGTTTCAGTCGGTGCCATGATCTGAGGGACCTCTTTGAAGTTCCGACAAGGAGTTTCTATGAATTCCCCGTCTATATCAATGTACCGGAAGGAATTGAGGTGGCTCACCATATACTCCTCTTCACCCCGCACAGTGACAATCTTCCCTTTTACCGGATACTTCAACATTTGGTGTAGTGTGGAAGTAACTGCCCCAGCCTCGTGGATCCAAGGACTACCCAACAAACAAGAATACAATGGCCTGATGTCCATCATATAGAAGGTAGACCCAAAGGTCTGAGAACCCACTTTGACAGGGATGTCCACCTCCCCGTGCACCATTCTTTTTGACCCATCAAAATCCCTTACCATAATGTTACTAGGCTTTAAAGTCAAGCCCTTGCAATCCAACCGGTCTAATGCCTTCTTAGGCAGAACATTCAGCAAAGACCCTGTATCTACCAACACATGAGTCATAGTGGTGCCCCTGCATTCAATCGAGACATGTAGAGAATCATTATGCTTCCTTCCCCTCGGTGTCAAATCTGCATCTGAAAAACCAAGCCCATTGTCAGCAGTCAGGCTAGCCACACAATCTTTAAATTGATCAGCTGAAGTCTCCTGCGACACATATGCAGTTTTGAGGAATGCAATCAAAGCCTTCGCATGGCCCTTAGAGCATAACAGCAGGGATAACATGGATATCTTTGAGGGGGTCTACCCCAGCTGCTCGACCACGTTATAGTCGCTCTTCTTAATTATTTTCAGTATTTTCTCTATCTCTTGCTTAGAGGCTTCCACAACAATTTTTCTAGGCGCCTCCATCCGGGAAGGCTCACCTATAACCTCTTTGCAGCGGGTATCATATGATTCGTCGATAGGGGTAATAATTGGAGTAAGAATAGGAGCAGTATTTGATGTACTAGCAGGAACAGCAGATGGAATGACAATAGGCCTGTCGACAGTCTTAGGGGAAATCTCGGGAGAGAAGACCCTTCCACTTCGGGTAACCTTGCTGATTCTGACAATGTTACCAATATCAGGATCAACCTATTCATTTTTCAAATCTTGATTGATGCCATGATAGTACACATCGACACCATAATGCCAGGGGACAGCTTTGTCCGAGACATATGAGACAGGACCAGGAACAGTGATTATGAGCGGAGATATTCTTGGAGCAGATATAATCCTAATAGGTCTTCTCGAGGAGGCCTTGGAAGGATTGGAAGAAATGGTTATAATGGCAATGTCTTCAGATGGAACAACGGGAACCAAAGTTTTCTCGAACAAAATTTCTTTACTGCCCATCAGGCGTTGAACATCTGACTTCAGCAAATGGCAACCAGAAGGTAGAAATGAACACATGTGGCAACCTTTACCACAACCCGGAAATAAATCGGCCAATAGCAAATTCTTCTTCACAGTCATGAGATGAGTAGAAACTTCATCCACCAAGGTCACAAACAAGTCAGTATCAATAGCATTAACTCCACGACCGTGCTTAGGCATGGGAGCAGTTATGACATTGGGCTTCTCTGGAGCATCGAAATCAATTTCCTTGGCTTCAATCAGATCTTGTACCTTATTTCTTAGAGCCCAACAGTCATTGATATCGTGGCCAGGACTCTCAGAATGATAGGCACACCGAGCATTTGGATTATATCGGGGAGATGTGATATTTGGATTCTTGGGAGCCTCTTTCAAGGTTGCCAAGTTGGATCTCAACAGATGAGGTAGAACTTCAGCCAATGTCATATTGATTCAGGTAAACTTTCGTTGTGGTCTTTCCACTCTTTGTTGATTGTTGCATTGTGGAGCAACTGCATGCCTATGTATCATTACGGTACTTACTGTCTGACGATGTTCGGACCTATTTTGGCCCCTCGGGCTATAGATGGAACTGGCTTCCTTTTTACCAGCAAAAGGCTTCTTTACCGAACTCGAAGAGGCATCCTTCTATATCTTGTCACTTCGAATCCAAGCTTCTACTCTCTCTCCAGTCAGAATCAGTCTCCAATACTCTTGATTACTTAATCACCGAATTCAATGCAAATGCTTTGGGGAACAAGTTCGGTATCTCTTGACTGAAAAGGGACTCCTCAGAGAAATAGAAGATCATATCTAGTTGCTCTTGATTGACGATAGATTCTTACAGGGATTAGAAAATTAGGTCAAATTTCTCTTGAATGACATAGATATTTCTAAGGTTGACAAATCATACTCCACCGCTTCTTGCTGACCCTAGATTGCAACAAACATGTAAATATTTTAAACAGCTCTTCAGGGAATGATTAAGGTATCATATCTAAATGAAATTGTTGGTGATAGAATAACACTTCCTTAGTGGGGGTAGATCACCAATAACATCATATTCAAATGCCCTTCGTTGAAGATAGATGTATTCGACAAAGTTAAGTCCAGACACCCTTCATTGAAGATAACCTTCCTTTACTTAAATCAAACACTTTTTTAGTGGAGATAAATTTCTGTTGGGGAAAATAAGAGACTATCTGGGGAATAAACACATAGGAGACCCCCTAGGGATTAATTGAGAACAAACTCAGAATCTGATCCTTTGGGGAATACAAGAGACTCTCTGGAGAATAAACGCATAGGAGACTCGATGGGGATTAATTGAGAACAAACTCAGGGAGTATGATTTATTGGGGCTTCTTGTCACTCAGACTTGTTAGGAGATTGCTACCTAAAATTTTCTAATGAAGAGACGCCCACTTTAGACATATACTTCAAAAGGACTTGCTGAGGATAACAATGTTAGGGATACCATATTAGAAATCCTGTTGAAATGAGATTAGTCTAGAGAGCTCATGAAGCTTTGCTAGAGAAATTTGTAAAGGACACTCTGTAAGGAGATATATACTGGGGAAACCTGGCATAAATTTCTTTGACACTAGAGCTGGCTTGGAGAACATCAATCACTTTGAAATTCTAGCACTTTAAAACATGTTAATACTGATGTCCCAACAACAGAACACAATTTAAAGACAAATGTTATGACATATGTTGACAGACAAAACTTAATATATCAAAATTGTAACTTATGCATAAATAAATTGTAGAATGATAAATAACGCAATCAATTGTTAACCCAGTTTGGTGCAACGTCACTGTTGTACCTCAAATTTTACCCTGAGTTTTTTCACTCGCATTTGTTTATATTCAAAAATCAAAAAATTTAATGTCCATTCACATCGTTATATTTCACGCGCATTTGCATCTATTCCCTATTTAAACTTGCATCCATATAAATACATATATATTCTTCGTTTAGTTAATTTTTAAATTTTAAATTTTTATTTAATTTTTCTTGTTTTTGGTCATTTAACCAAAATATAAAAAAATTTGTATATATATATTTTTTTCTTGTTATTGATCTTTCAAATTAGATTTTAGTTTTTAGTTTTATTTTATTTAGGTTTAGTTTTATTTTTATTAGATTTATTTATTTAGGTTTAGTTTTATTTTAGATTAAAATTATAAACAATTGTATATAAAAAAATTTGTTGTTTATTTTGTTCAAATTTAATTTAATTTAATTTTCTACAAAATATCTTGTAAGAAGGGCTATTTTAGTCTTGTTACAAATACCTAAGAGCTTTGTGGATAAAGTTTTTGGAATTTTTTATAACAAGGGATCAGATATTGAAGAAAAAAACAGAGGAAGCGCTGCGGTAGAAAAAAAAGATGTACTCCTTCATCTAATACAGAACGAGAATCTCTCCAACTCACCCATCATCATAGTAAATCAACCTCATCTTCTCAGATTAACCTTCAACCTTTCAATTATGCAGTTACACATCAACATATAGTTTCCTCTGTTCTTCCCTTCATCACTCACCAATTTTAACCTCCATTTGATTCAAAACATCACCGCAAACCACTCTATTCCGCCGTTTAAACCGCAAGTTGTATCAACTTCATCGCTCCCAATCTCACAAGCCTTCCGCCTCCTTATACTTCCTTCTACTGCTAATGGACCATCACCGTACTCTACACACCTCTTTAATTTCATCAACAATCCAACGCCAGCACAACAATACTCTCAGTCTCATCTACTTCGCAAGCAAACACTCAGCCTATTTCTGCGACGTCTTCTGCGTCAGGATCCTCCATCAGCGTCTTCAATGAGAGTAAGTCATTCCGAGTGGATTTCCGACACCCGCAACTTCTGACTTCGGGCAACATAATCGGAAATTCGAACTAAGCCGTCATCTTCAAATGGGTAAACAATCTCATCTTCTGTGCAATATGTATATTATGATTTTTTATGCTTGATTTTGATGTTGCAATATGAATAAATACGAAAAATGACATGGATTTGTTTATGATTATCCCGGATTATATTAAACATGTAGACCAAATTGTGTATGGATAGTGAGCGTGTATAATTTTGGAACTGTGTTATTCGGTTTTTAATTGTTCATAGTTTTGATACTTCGACATTTATTCTGAGCATTCGATTTGTGACTCTTTTCTTTGTTGGTGAAGTTGTTGCGAAGATCTTTGGATTTCTTTTGCTTTGATATCACTTTGCTACTGACTTTTTGTTCATTTGGTATTGTGTTTATCATGTTTATATTTCGCATTATCTTTTCAATTTCCTTGCCATGAGAAGTAGGAATGAAGATGGATGTTCTAGGAGTCCATTTGAGGAAAATTTGGTTTATTTAAAGACCTGTTTAAGGAAATTCCTGCTTGTGCTTGTTTACCTTTGTGACAAAGACCTCGATGAAGGCATCCCATTCCCATTCCCTATTGATAAGTCCTCAAAAGGAGGCAAGGCGAGCAGAGGGTCCACAATCGACCTTGCCATTTCTAGTCTGTGTCATTTGTAGCTCGCGTCGTATGTTGATGCTTCGAATCGTGCTACTCCTGTTATCGAGTCGGTCAAGTGGAATACAAGAATCTCTAACCAATCCCCCATATTTTGTCTTGAGCTCACGTCGGGAAACGTTAATACTCCGTGCTTGTTCATATTGTCTTTTATCTCCTACCTTGATTCTTGATATCTTGGTTAGAAGCATAGTCGCCTTGAACATTTACTTCCCCCACTATATATTTCTTGCCTTGGTAACATGATACCTTGGTTAAGAGTAGATTTCATGACACTTTCTTTCCTAGATGAGATATCTATGGTCAAGAACTTCCCCCTTTTACCTACCTCGATGATTCGATATCTTGGTTAGGCCTTTCGACTTGAGCTAGTGTGCACTACTCATGAGATGTGTGTGCTATCTTAAGCTTGTTGATTGCCTGTTTACTTTTCATCCTTGTATATACCATGTTCCCTTAGGTTTTAATCCATTGTATGCTCCTTTAGGATTCACTTGTTTGTTTCTGATGCAAGTTAGACATTAGGATTGTAATCCATGCATGCTAACTTAGGTAGAGATTTCCCTTCAAACTCAACCTCCGGACCATCATTGTATGATAACATTTGGGATAGAGATATATAGTTTTCTCTTATATGTTTTCTTTTCAGTTTGCATCCTTAAAAGTAAAACTCTTTTTCTTGGCAAATTCATAAAATACTAACATTTCTTAAACCCTTTTTCAAGACTAAAAAACATTCAACCTCATTCAAACTTTTTTGTGTGCTTGAGCATCTTTTACCATTTAAAACATTTTTTCAAGATTAGACATGATTCATTTATAATTGAGATGTTCTTCCTCTATCCCCATGGTTGTCGACTTCTCCACTTGAGTACTAGAAGTGTTTTCAAACCCTCCATTATGTTGGTGCGTAGTCCTTTATTCTTTATCATACCTTATGGGCGTTTAGATGAGTCTTCTCCTTTAAAGATGACGACTTGTCTCTTCATTTAAAATCAACCAACAAACAGAAAATTTTAAGTTGATCTACGATGCTCAGATTCCTTAAAAGGGATACGTAGGAATCTTGTCATAGGGCTCAGTCGAGCGAAACTTTGTAAATATTCCTTCTTTTTCCCGTGTTTTCTTTTGCGTGCATTCCATTCTTGCATTTTTTTCTCTTAGATCTTAAGCTCTAGATTTAGACACACCCTTTGATTATAACAACAAGGGTGGATGTCATGGAGTATCACGAATGTGAGTGGTGCTAATATCTTCCTCTTGCGTAATCGACTCTCTTATTCGATCTCTCGGTCGTAAGACCGTGATTTCTCCCTTCAGGTTTTTCTTCGATGATTTTCCTTTCCCTTATGTGGGATAAATAAATACTTGATGGTGACTTCATTGTTTTTTTCTTGATGATTTTATGTTGGTTGCTTCAGTTGGCGACTCCACTAGAGACATATTGACTAATTGTTGGTCCATCCCGGAGTCGCTCCTAACTCTTGTTTATTTTTCTTGGGTGTTTATTTTTTTATGCTTTACATTTTATTCATTTGTACATATTTATCTGAGCATATGTTTGCATTGCAACTTTATTGCTTTCCATATACTACTATTGTGCTGGATTTGCTGGTTTTTCAGGTTGGGTGGTGTAATACCCTAATTTTTGCCCCCAAGATTTCTCATCATCTCATATCATCAATACATCAAGATCACGCATTAGGGTTTGGGTATTTCTTCTACTTCATCCTATCTTTAAGTTTGCTCTTGAGGGATTACCAAACACCCTAATTGTGTATCTTGTATACATGTGTTTTATATTTTACTGACCTCTAACCAAAATCCAAAAATATGTCTTGTTTATTTTATTTCTTTTATAAGACAGGGTTTCAGATCAAGGAGTTCAAGTGATGGTTCTCCGATTATGGTTGTGGTTTTGTTCAGGCCAAGGGCTGGTTCTTAAAAGCCTATTTTTCATAGTGGTGAACTATAATCTAAGGTCACGTCATCCTCAAGCTTCAGTCGGCATGATTAAGGCGAGTTTGGTTTCTTAATTCTCAAGACTCTTTGAGATAGGTTCATGTGTTTATTTACATGCCTTCTTCGACGAGTAATATCAAGTTATGACAAGTGTGAGCATTATTTGGTCAAGATTTTGTCATCTCAAGTTCATATGTTCTTAAGAGTGCCTCGGGTTGTGGAAAAAGATCATGTTCGCGAGTTGATTCGAAGTTGTCGGACCAAAAGTCAACATTTGCAAGTTTGAGTTCAAATGATCATAACTTATTCATTGTTCAACATTTTTTAGTGATTCTTCGAGCATATGAATCTCCTAGACATCATCTCCAATTTCTCTTTTTAAGCTGAGAGCTAATCATGTGTAAAAGGCCGTCAAAGGTTTGAGTACATTATAGATCGTTTTTTGAAGACTTTGACTTAATTTCAAGTGACTTTCATCCAAATTTCAAGAATTATAACTCGTTCAATTTTCCTCGTTTTCGGGATGGCTCTTTTTGCATGGTATCACCAATGACATTATCTAGAAGATTGTTTAAATGAGTAAGAGCGAATTGTGCTTAGAAGGTCATGAATTTTATTGAAACGTTTTAGGTGATTTTTTGACTTATAATATTCTCAAACTCTAAATTCCAATTCATGTTGCCAATTTTTCTAATGCCATGTTTCTTTTCCTCAAAGCCTTATTTGTGTGTTAAGATTATTTATCATCAAGTAAAGATCCATGGTACAAGATTGTTGAATTTGAGGAATTATAGACCATTATGTCAAAGTTTTGGTTAGTCCAAGTTCATGGGTTCAAGTTTACTCAAAGCTTCAAATTGAAATTCAAAAGGTGGAAGGAATTTCTTACTTTCATGAGTTTGGAATTTACAAATTAAAGGAAGATTCAAGATTGTCTCAAATTCAAGTTTCTATATCAAGTGATTCAACTTTGTCAAATTCATTCCAAATTACTCAAGTGGTATTCATGCTTCATGAGAAAATTCATTCAAAGTTTTATTCAAGTATTGAAGTTTCAACATCTAAAAAATCAAGAGAAATTGTTCAAGTTTCAAATGACTTCATAATACATCATTCATTGTTTGGAATCCTCATTTTACCACTCCAAAACTTCAATGTTACATCAATTCTACACAAGTCCCTTTTACCTAAACTTCAAGAAACTCCATTCATAATTCAAGTTCCATACATCATCTTCACGACAAGCTACAAGTTTTATTTAAGCTTTCTTCTTTTTCTAATTCCTAATTTTAACTCAAATCAAAAATTTAAGAATACACCAACATATGTTTTCTTACAACAAGAAGCAAATTCAAGAAGAAATTGATATGGATTTCGAGTTACTTCATAATGTTACAAGAAAATTCAAGTTCTATATGGCCTAAAATCCAATTACAACATCAAAGATACAAACCCTCCAAGTTTTCTACACCTAAAATTCTTTGAATATCACAAGACTTTGAGTTTCTTCAAGCTTCTATTCCATGCTCAAGCAACTCTTCCATGCCTTCAAGCTTTGCTACGGTTGCCTCCTTCCTCAAGTCTTCAATCCATATCCTTTGCAACCATGCTCTTGACAAACCATTCATACCATGAAAAGAAGGAAAATAAGTGGTTAACATACATAGACTATCAAGAATTTCCAACAAGGTTAAACATGGAGAGATTTCATGCTTGGCCCAAATAATCACGCGGACACAAAGAGAGCCTTCATGCTAACAATTACCAACAAATTCAAGAGTTAACACGTGAATTTTCAGCTCAAAAATAAATCAGTCAACAATCATCAAGACCTTATCCAACATTGCTCAACACATGAATAGAAGAAAATTAAAGGGTGTATTAGCAATATCATTCAAGCATATTGTTACACCCCAAAATTTGCCCTCCCATATTCTCCAAGAAATTGCCAAGCCAAGTCACAAAACTCCCCAAGAATTGCACAGTGCAAAGGTCTCCCATACAGTCAAAACTAGGGTTTGGGTTCTGATCAAGAAAGGAAGTTTTCAAAGGCCCAATCAAGTCTCATATGCCTACAAATATGGTCAAGCATCCTCATATCAAGTTTCAAGGCATTCAGCTCAAAATTGCACAATCAAAACCCTAAATTGCACTACAGTCAACTGTAGGGGCAAAATGGTCATTTGACAGTCAAAAGTTCAAATTTTTGGTCAACATATCATTTTGAAGCCACAAACATCATTTGATCAATGCTTGATCATGATTCTCAAAGTTTGGCTCAGAAATCATCAAGATGCAAAAGTTTCCTTATTTGGACAGCTGAAAAAGTCAACTGAAATTGACCAGGGCATAACTTTCACATGGATTATCAGAAAAATTCCATCCAAAGCTCATTTTGAAGAGAAAGACATTTCCTACAACTCATATTCATATTTCAAGTCCAATAAATGCTCTCACAAAAAGTTATCAATTTCAACATTATAGGTCATTTTCAAAAGTCAACAAAAAGGGACTTTAAGTCAAAGGCCATAACTTGAGATTGGTAAATCAAAATGACATGGGACCAAAGACATTGGTTAGAGGACTCAAAGACCTTTCCAAAATGTCCAAGAACATGAGAAAAGCTTAAAAATTGAGCAAGTTATGCCTTGTGGAAGTTGGGAAATTTTTGGATATTTTGAAAAGTCAACATTACTTCAAATGACCTAAAATTGCTAATGGGCCCATTTTTCTTCCATAATTCATCATCCAAGCATGTTCACGACTACTTGGCCCAAAGGGAAGTATTTTCTCATTTTTTATTTATTTATTTGAATTTGTATTCATATTAATTCATTTAAATCAAATTAAATATATGAAAAATGCTAACCTAAGTTTTCAAATCTTTTTGTACACATTTTAGCCTCAAGATTTCGTGCCTAAGTCAATAAGGAAAGATTTGGAGCAATGGGATATGATTTGTGCAAAAATAGCATGGAAAAAGATATGGAAAAATCTTAAGAAATCAAATATTCAAAATCAATGATTACAAGAGATTTGATTGAATTTTGTTAACCTAATTGACTCACTACATATGCTAGATGAGAACCCTAATCATGAGACACAAAGCTGCGCAAGAAACACCATTGCAAACTTGAAATTTTCTCTAAGAAAGTCAATTCTGAAAACCACCTTTGAGGACGATTCAAGCCCTAATTTTCATTCCAATAGCTTCCTTGGAGATCACTGATCACATTCCAATCCAAAACATCAACTCAAACTTCAAGAATTGGTAACGAGAATCTCCCCTGTACAGAGAAAAAGTCACGATCGTATTTTTAATTCTAGGCATTCTCATGGCATTCTAATTGTGGATTTATATTCCTTATGATCTTCTGATGCTAACCAACATAATTAATTGCGTTTTTGTGCTGTATATTCGATTTCACCATTGTTGATATTTAGGGTTTACAGAGCTTCAGAATAGGGCTTTTGCAATTAAGAAAAATTGGTCCTCAAGACCATGACCATTGAGTTCAACGCGTCTGGACGAAGAAGATAGGACCATCGCGCTGAATTTATGTGCCAAGGAGAGCTAATCGCTATTTTCTTTAAAGCCCTCTAAACCCACGCCATAAAAACCGTTGCTTTTGTTTTTGTTTTACAGGGATGGTGAAGAAGATGATGTGTTGTCAACAAATGATACGCTAGTTTGAAAACTCGCGCGCGTTGGAGGCCACTAACTCTCTTTTCTTTTATAATATTCATTAACCATTATATATTAAATGTAATTCAAGCGCTTCAGTGGCAGGTGTACACCTTTGCAATGTCCAAGACCTGGGTTCGAGTCCCAGGTCTGTATAATTTCCAATATTATTTTTCCATGTGAATTCCCATGCAGCGCCCAAAGTCAAGACTACCATGTGCCTTCAAGAATCCTACAGCCACGCGTCCTGGAGATCAAATCAAGGGCATATATTGGAAGTGTATCCTAGACCTGGTCAGAGGTGCCACATGGTGCCTGGAAAAGTCAACGATTTTGAAGCTTGTTGGGCTAAACTGCTTGGGCCATACCTCCTAATATGGGACTGAACCCCCCCTGGTTTGCAATTTTCATTATATTTTATTTTTTCAATTATTGTTTTATTTGCTTTATTGTTTTAATTTAATTAATTATTTTTTTTTACAAAATATAAAACACATAAAAAACTCAGAAAAAGATAAAAAATATAATGATTATTAGCATGTAATTAATTAGTTTTAAATTAAGTTACAATTTTAATTCTTTTCATAATAAAATCTAAAAAAAATGTAGAATTAGGTTTAGTTAATTTTTATTCTTTTTTAATATTTCTTTTTCACAATAATAACATTTATTTTATTTTTTATAATTAAATTTGCATGAAAATAATTTAGGGTTAATTTAGGTTAAAAACTTCAATATTTTTCTTAATAACTTAAAAAATAATTAGAACTAGGTTTAACATTTTATTTTAGTTTTAATTAATTCTTTTTCTATTAAATCTTAAAAAAACATAAAAATACCAAAAAACATTTTCTTTTAAATTTTAATTTTAATTCCTTATTAATTTAATTTTTGTAAAAGGGTCCAACGCCCTCGTTTCGATTTAATTTCGCATATTTATTTTATGTTGTTAAATAATTATGTACCTCTCCCGAAGCCTTGTAATTACTTTTCGCACTTTTTTCATTAATTCTTTACTTTCCGTCAAATCGGGTCCTGGTTAATTTTGGCGATGTGGACCCGCGCCATTTGTAATAGTTCTAGATTTACTTTTCCCGCAATATTTTTTAACTGTTAAACAAAGCATGCAAGAATGAATGGCCATAATAAAAACAAGCGTAGAACACCAATCATATGACAAGACAAATATCAATGAAAACGACACACAAATCGCACACACCACCCCTAGGGTACGCCTCACTGTTGCTTTGCCTCGAAAGGTGATCGTCGAGTAGAGGATGTCTTAGTAAGTCCTCATGATCCGGGAACCTGGCATGAGGGTAGCTTCTAAGGTGTCTTCCCATTGCTCTGGTGATCACCATGTCCCGAACCTTCGAATTGACCCGAACACCTCCAACGGTGGTGCTACCTACCTCTCAATGGTGGGATGGCACTACTTTAAAGGACATTTACACAGATGAATTCCTTAGGGTAGGTAGGTTCTCGTAGATACTTGCTCTAATTTCAAAAACAAATCAAAAATACTTTTCACACCGACACCTTTTCAAAAGCTTTCGAAAGCAATTTTTCAAACACTCTTGAGGACCGATACAAGAGTCGAA